CTCTTATTGAATCTCTCTGCACTGAACCACTCAATGCCAGAGCTCGCAGCCCTGGAATGATATTTTATAGTGAGTTTTGTGGTTGTTCTTCCAAACATTAACTCATCCTATTTCAGCATCAGCTCTGAATGTTCAAATACTACCACTGCTATTAGGTCTTCTTCATGTTTTCCAAGTTAAGCAACTATTTAGTCTTAAAAGACTAGCATTTTGGAGCTGGAGGGATGGCTCAGTGGTTAAGAGCTCTGACTTCTCTTCCAGAGGTCCTGAGTTCAATTCCCAGCAATCACATGGTGGCTCACAACCATCTGTAAAGGGATCTCATGTCCTGTTCTGAAGACAGCAACAGTGTGCTCACATACATAAAATAAATAAATAAATCTTTAAGAAAAAAAAGACCAGCATTTTGTTAACGGTTCTCTTATGAACCTAGTATACATGATTTATTGACATATCACACGTTTTATTTCACATTATTCCTCATTATATAGTATTTTGTTACACCATCAGCATACACAATAAACAAATAATATAGGAACTACCAAAGAAAACAAAACAAAAAGCCAGCACACAGCCCTTTGAATTTTAGTGGGGGAAAGCCATAGCAATGGCTAATTCACGGGATAGTTCCCATGGCAAAATATTCAGGCCCAGAACACTACTTTGACTTAACTATGCTGCTGTGTTGTCAATAAGTCACCATGTCTAGTAGTTAACACACACTAACTGCTAGTCTCTAATGAATCCACATCAAACACAACCACCTGACAAAATAATCCTCAACACCTCCCAGCTTCTAACAAAAGCCTATTAGAGTTAACTAACATTTGAGAAGAATTAAGGGACCATGCAAACCTGCAACTCTCTGCAAAGTATTAATACTGTTAATTTTGATCTTCATAGAACTTTTATCTAATCTTACCTTAACAGTATGCCATCAGTTTTTATAAAGGCTGTATCTTTGACTTTTGTGCTTTTTAAGTCAACTACACATTTCATGTATGAAAATGTCTGAATATAAGCTGGATAGTGGTAGCATATGCCTTGGAGGCAGAGGCAGGTGGATCTTTGTGAATTCAAGGCCACCCTGGTCTATAGCGCAAGTTCTAGGACAGCCATGGCTACATAGAAAAACCCTGTCTTGGAAAACCAAAAAGAAAGAAGGAACCAATGTCTGGATATAGGTTAGCTTGGTTTAAGGAAAGAATGGACAAACAAAAGGTTAAGAGATGCAGCTAAACGAGATGAAAGAACCTTAGCAGCTTCTAAGCAGCATCACATACTTACTTACACAGATACACACACAGTTGGACCACATGAAACTGAGAATACTCAGCTGTCTTTTGCTTTTGAAAAAAGCAATTTCATAGAGTATACTCACTGGTTCAATATATGGTAATGAGTTATGCAGTATAAGTCATCTTATAATTAGCAGCACAAACATATTATCTCATTTGTCAAAATAATATGCTCCCTCAACTCCCAGGGTGGACAATGGTCTTCTAAATGATCACTTCTTGTTCAGCTTCCAGGATGCTCAATGCTGAATTCAGTAGTTCAGTGTTGATAATTTTCTCAGCTAGTGTTTTAATATAGTTATTTCTATGTTTACTCCTGTTTGATCCTTTTTATTAATTTTATTGATCCACAAGTATGACTTTCTGAAAGTGGATGCCTAGACTACTGCTGATGTCCTGGGGATGGCCCATATATGTACTGGAGGGGAAGAAGCAGAATGCCATTTATTTCTAATCCGAAGTCACATGCTAAATGCTCATGGTCTGTACTGGCTGAGGTATTAGAGATATGGTTATAAGCCAGTCATCAATAGGTGAGATAGGAGCTTAAGTTAGAAAGGCCAGGAGTGCTAACTGACAGACAGGGCAAAGGCATTCCTGCTAAGTGTAGTGAAATACAGAAACAGGCAATGAAAGGCAAATTTACATGCTTCGTGTATAACAATGTCTGACTGTAGGAATAAACCTATTTAAGGACGGAATGAGCAAGTAAAAGGATGAGAGATGAAGCTAAAGGAGACAGACCATTGTAGCTTCTGAGAAGCATAAAGGAACTACGTGGTGGTGAAAGTCAAGGACTCTAGGACTTCTAGATCTTCTACTGTTACATTTGATTCAAGCAGAGGATGCTGATAAGACTGCTGGAAAAGAGTCTCTCCTCAGACAGATTATTATTACACACCATTAGGTATGTAATAATATCAATCTGACCTATAAGCTAACCCAAAATCACTAATAATAACTGAATTACTATCATGTGCCTCTTCACAGAGCAGGATAAGGAACACACATCATTTACAATATTAATCCAAAAATGCTTTAGAGAAACTCCACCATTAGAAAATAATATGGAATATAATTGAGAGATTCTTTATAGAAACTAAACCAAATATTTACAAACATTAATTCTGCAAAAGACTACAATGTATCTGAAAAGCTTTTTTCCTAGATTAAAGGCGACTAAAGTGATATGACAACCAAATACAATAAAGGCCCTAATACTGGATCTTGAACTGGGATTTTAAAAAAAGAAAAACTGAAATACATTTTGAAATAATGGGAAAAATATAAATGGAATATGCCACACCACCGAACTATATGAACATTAAAGTTTCTGAGTATGAAGACTGAATTGTAAGCATGTAGAATAATACCCTTTTCTTCTTATTTAAAAAAACCAATTCACCTTTTGTTGAAAACATTTTTTCCCTCATACAATATATCCTGATTATGTTTTCCTCTCCCACCATTCCTCCTAGTTCCTCCCCACCTCCCTCCTAGCCAGATCTACCCCCCTCTTGAAATCCACAGTAAAACACCAAATGCTAGTAACTCTCATATCAGCCAGAAAACAATACTGCTTTTAAATGAGGAAAATATGTGAATGTGTGTGTATAGAGAGAGGTAGACACACACTGAGACAGGGAGATGAGAGGTAGAGTTAGCAAGAAGACAACCGGCAAGAGGCCGAAGATCCAGATCAGAGGTCAGTGCAAGGCTCATGTGCATGTGTGCACATACACAACATGTAAGAGCTAAGGAGAAAGAGAAGTTCTATCACAACCTAAGTCAAATTCCACAGCTTTACAGAGAGTGCACAGAAATTTGCTGTGACATATTCATTTAGTGAGGGTGTAGCACAGAGTAACTAAAGCTGTCACTCTGCTATGGGCCAGTGCTCTCACAGCTACTTGACAGAGATACAAACCTAACCAACAGGATACACAAGAACAAGGAGGGCCCAGCGGTGGGAAACTCTCGACCAAGGCAGATGCCCTAAACCATCTCCACAACAATCAGGTCTGGACTAGGTCTGTGGTAGACATGCAAAGGAGGGAGTAAAATGAAGCAAGGAGAAAACAGAAGCACACACTGCACTGACAGAGCAAGAGGAAAAACAGAATAGCACTAACTTAGAGGCTAGAAGAAACTGAAGAACACTGAATCTAGTATCTATAAAAGGAAAACAATATGGATGCTTCTGTACTTTTCAGCTGTAACACACCAGACATAAACGTACTACACTTGTATTAGAGTGAGAAGTCCAGCTGGGCAGACATGATGAACTATATTATATCAGAGCACAGCAGCATACTTGCCCTTGGGGTTGCTAATGCATTCCCAAGTGAGCTGAGTGGTACTGAGCAGTAAACATTTGTTGAACAAATGATGTATGTGTATAATTTACCCGTGTGTTAAAACACAGAAAACGTGAACACGAAACTCAGTTACTGGTGATATGAAGTGATATTTGTGTGTATGCCTTTTAAAAAAGCACATATAGCCGGGCAGTGGTGGCGCATGCCTTTAATCCCAGCACTTGGGAGGCAGAGACAGGTGGATTTCTGAGTTCGAGGCCAGCCTGGTCTACAGAGTGAGTTCTAGGACAGCCAGGGCTACACAGAGAAACCCTGTCTCGAAAAACCAAAAAAAAAAAAAAAAGCACATATATGTAATTAATGTCTCCATCTTCTCCAAGGCATATTTACACTTTTGAGTATAAGCCCCAAATGGTCTTTTTCCTTTCCCATTTTCCCTTTACATGTACCTTAGTACAAGACCTTATGGAGACAATAGTGGACGATGGCTACACTGGCATTTAGTAAATCAAAACATGTATGATCATTCCTAACAGATGAAATCTAAACTCAGCTGGGTTCGAAGGCAAATATCATATTGGCCTAACCCCACTTCAGCCCTACTAAGACTCTGGTCCTGTCTCCAAAGTTTTAGGACTAGAGGCCTGTACCATCACAACAGAGCACTTGCTTGACAAAGAGCACCTTACAGTTACTCTTCAGATACTGCTATTTACCAATCCACCGACATAAAACATTTGCAGTGAGACATACTACATGTAATATATAGTCAAATTTAGCTATCTAGCAACCATACAGCAACACTGCTCTACAAAATGTTCATGAATGGATAAAGAAAATGTGGCACATATCTATAATTCAGTATTATTATTCATCCATTAAATATTTATCCATGAAAAATGGTGAAATGGGTCATTTCTATCAGCCTGGGTGAATTTGAAAATTATTTTATCCAGTGAAAGACTCCAGGCACAAAAAAAAAAAAAAATCAAAGAACTGTAGGATATCATTCATATGTGGAATGTAAAAAAGGTGCTGCCTAGAGGTAGAAGAGCAGCAGCCAGACCCTAGTGAGAGACAAGAGGGGGCAGTGGATCGGCGAGCCTACGTTACAGACACATGGGGAAAAGTAGTTCTGGTGTGTTACTGCAGAAAAGGGTGACCAGAGATAACACGAAACTTCAAAAAGAAGGGATTTTAAAAGTTGTCATCATAAAGAACTAATTATGTGTGGTGACAAATATAATTAATTTGATTTAAACTTTACTCCTCAATACCTATCTGTATGGCAACCATATATATTGTCTCAGAATTAGGAACAGTTTTTATTTTCATATAGAACTTAAAATAAGCTTACTTAAAACACTTTTGAGTATGTGCTTACTTTAATGTTTCAGCAAGAAAAAAGCTCTGCTGCACGTCATCATGCGCAGGGGTCTGGGAGTATACATCTTTGACTCCAGAAAACCCACCGCTGACTCGGCAGGACTTCTCAATCGCCTGTGAGGGAGAGCAGAGAAGACAATTCATTCTGTGGAATTTCAATTCTGAAAGACAAGTCAACCTGAATTCAAAAAAGAAAGTTCATAGAAACGATGGGCATAATGGCCTTTTATTCCAGCCCCCAGGAGCCAGATAGACAGATCTGTCTGTATTCAAAGCCAGCCTGGTCTACACAGTGAGTTCTAGGACAGCCAGGGCTACACAGTGAGACCTTGTCTCTTCTTTTTTTTCTTTTTCTTTTTCTTTTCTTTTTTTTTTTTTTTTTTGAGACAGGGTTTCTCTGTGTACTCCTGGCTGTCCTGGAACTCACTCTGTAGACCAGGCTGGCCTCAAACTCAGAAATCCACCTGCCTCTGCCTCCCAAGTGCTGGGATTAAAAGCGTGGGCCACCACTGCCCGGCTGACCTTGACTCTTCTAAACACAAAAACAAACACTCATATAAATCTGTAGGAAAATTTGACATTTGTGTAACTGGCAATATATTAAGCCTAAGCATAGTGTTATCAAAGAAACATACTCTCAGACTAGAAAAACGAACTTGTTCCAGGATGTCTTTCCCTCTCTAACACTATAATCTCTCTAAAATACTTTATATTTTCCTGACTTAAATGTCAAATTTTACCTATTCTTTCTAAATTAGGAAGCTGTGTGTCACAAATCATGACAGAAGCTTGTCATTAGGAGTATGGGAAATGGCTCATAAAGTCCTTGTCTTGAAAACTGAGGCTCTGAGTTCAGTTCCCATGTATAAGGCTGAGCACAGTGGTACATGTCGGTAATTATGTCAGCAATCCAGCAATGAGTACTAGAGGCAGGTAAAGGTGGATCCCTGGAACCTGCTAGCCTGGCTGGTCAGCTTAGCCTACTTGGTTAAGTCTTTAGCCAATGAGAGACCTTATTTTAAAATGTAGAAAGTACATGAGGAACTTATGGTTGTATTCTTAACTCTACATACACTTGTATGTGTACACACACACAATCTCTCTCTCTCTCTCTCTCTCTCTGTCCCTCTCTCTCTCCTTCTCTCTCTCCTTTCAATGTGATCATTTCCAAGTACAAATACTAATTCACAAAATCCTTAAAAATGTATTATTTAGGAGCTTAATACAGTAGTGGTATTGAGATATTTATTGTAACGCTACTACTCTATTCTGAGACACTGTATTTCCATAACCTTATTAGTCAGGCTCCATAGGTGGTGAGAAGTAGCAGGAAGTGCACACCTACATGCCTAGATGACAATGGCGACTATTTAAGAGCTAACAATCTGCTGAAGGTTATTCTAAGAGCTTCATATGCACTGGCATTTAAATTTCACAGCCCTAGGAAGTTAACAGCTCCACTTTTCAGATGGAGAAATTGAGCTGAGCCATTTGTTCTGTGCTAACTACTGTGTTCTAACACCTGACTGGAATTTAAAATTCTTACTATCTCCATTTGTGTCCTTGAACATGCATTACTCGATGCATTAAATAAAAACCAGTCTAGTTACAACTCTACTTTTAAGTTGCAGTCACCAAACACCTTGCTGGTGCAAATGCATCACACTTTAAAGCTAAGAGCATGTGGACTCTTTCTTTCCTCACTCATCACTACTGCTGCTGGTAGTCACCTGGCCTTTTCTTCTAACAGAAAACTAGTTAACAGTAGAAAGTATTTAACTGAGTTCTTTTGTACAGCGTTCTTTGTTGTTGATGGGCTTTGAAGTCTCCTTACTTAGGCCTGATGCTTTTATCTAAGCAGTTTAAATGCTCTACTCTTCCTAATGACCATGAAGAACGGATCAGCATTATCGGGCTACAGAGACTGCTCAGCAGGTCAGAGCATTTGCTGTTCTTGCACAGGACCTACTTTTGGTTCCTAGCACCCACATCAGGGGCCTCACAAACACACGTAATTCCAGCTCCAGAAGACCTGAAAACCTCTTTTGGACTCCACAGGTACTCACACTCAAGGGGTACATACAAACAATAAACAATCTTTTTGTTTGTTTTAAAGACTAGCTCGGCACCACACCAGGACAGTGTTAAGCCATGCAGGCTGCAGGCTCACTTGGCAGTCCTGTCTGGTCTTACACTTAGGACAGTTCCTACCTTAGTCTCCTGAGGTTTAGGATTGTAAGTGTGCATCTTCACACTCAGTGTGGATGCCTACTGTTTAAGAGTAATGGGACTGTTTCCTTTGCTTACTAATCCTAACAAATTCCTGCTTCCAAACACACACACACACACACACACACACTCTCTCTCTCTCTCTCTCTCTCTCTCTCTCTCTCTCACACACACACACACACACACACACACACACATACCTGTTATATGTGTGTACATCACATTTTGTTTTTTAATCTATTTTTTAAAACAATTTACTAATCTATACAAGAATTATTAGAACACAAGGTAAAATGAACGATCTGCCCAGGCTATGAATCTGGTTTTTTTCCCAATGGTTAAACATTAAAAAGACATTATAAAAACACTACTTATTTTATAATAATACTGAGATTGCCTTTTAAATAGCTCCTTATAGTTACTTAGTAGAATACCAAGTGCATACTTTTATCAAAGTACAAATAGAAAGTAAACAGGAGTATAAGACTAGTTCTTACTGTTCAAGAAACAAATGAGAATAGTTTCTTCTCTAGAGAAATCAAAGTATAAAGTTCTCAAAATCAAGTAACTGGGAGGAGGACAAATGGTACAGGGGAGAGCCCTACCCAGTCAGCACAGACAAGAGAAAGAATTGGTGTATTTACCAGTGCTGCTTCCCAGCCCCATTGCCTGTATCTTGGGTCGTGGGTGAATCGCCATAGATACCAATAGGTTTCAATTACTTCTGGACGAAGGATGTAATACTTTTCAGCTTGCCGCACAGCCACGGCTTCCACTGCACCATCAAACTTGAATGACTCAGGACCTAGTTTTAATGCTGTAACATGTCAAAAAAAAAAAAAAAAGCCACATAAGCAATGTGTGTGCTTTAAGGAATACTTACTGTTCTCTCTAAAAGGAAGAGGTATGAAATAATCTTTATTTTTTGTGATTTTTAATGCTTCCTACTGTTTTAATTTTATTTATTTGTTTTGGCGTTAAAGACTAAAGCCAGAACCTCTCACACACTAGGCTGAGCTACATTCCAGTCCTGAAGTAACTTTGGTTATTGTTACTATACTACAAAATGAACTGTTTCAAAAGAACTACATTTGGTTTTCTTCTAACAGAATTACAAATATTTCTATTGCTCTGGAATGAAGTATACCTTAGAAGAATACACAGCAATATGCTGCTAAATCTGACTCTACCAAGAGCTAAGTAGTACCTTAGAACCAAACGCAAAGGTAACTACAACACACAATCCATGAACACAAACAGATACTATCTGTCCCTTTTTTTGTAGTTTCATCATTATTTTGTAATTTTCAGCACACAATCTTTCTCTCTTTGGTTAAATCAATTCATTGTGTATTATTCCTGAGTGTGTGTGGTGGGGAAGTATGCACACAAGTGTGAGTGTGCACACATTGGATCCAGAAGCCAAGGGAAGGAAGGCATTAAGCATCCTATGCTATAACTCTTTGCCTTGTTCCTTTGAAGCAGAGTCTCTTGCTGAATCTAGAACATGAAATTTTTCAGCTAGGCTTGCAACAAGGAAGCCTCAGGCATCCTCTGGTCTCCACCTGTCAGTGCTGGGGTTATGGAAACACCAGGCCTAGTCCTGGCTTCTATGTGGGTGCTAGAAACTCCGATCCTCAAATGTGCACAGCAAGTATTACAACAGAGCTTTCTTTTAAGCCCTGATTATTTTATCATTTTGATGTTATCAATAAGTAAGGTTCTTTTCTTGATTTTTCCCTCTAATAGACTGCTATTACTGTAAAGAAATGCAACTGATTTTTGCACATTGACCCACTACTGTACTGAATGAATTCATCCATTCTAACAGGGTTTTGTTTGTATGCATGCATGCATGTGTGTGTGTGTGTACAGTTTTTATTATACATAATCATGTCCTGTGGAAATTAGGATGATTTTGCTTCTTACTTTCTGATCTGAAAGTCTTTCGTTTCTTTTTTCTTGTCTGTATACTTGTCTATATACTGCCTAGTAAGTTCCGGTACTACATGGAAAAGACTCTGAATTCAAAGCCATCCTTGGTACATAATGAGACTCTAACAACAATAAACAAAAAACATTTTTTAAAAAGTCCAACATCATAAGCATTGAGATGAAAGTAATCCAAAGGCAGGTTATTATGGTCAAGATTTCTTGTGTTTTTCCTTCTGCTAAAGAAAAAGGAAATGTTCGGGAAAATGGATGTATCTGGAAATTACAGTATCAGTGAAGACTACTAGACTCAGAAAAACAAATACCATAAATATTCACGCTGATGTGCAAATGCCAGCTTTGAATTTGTATCTGTTTCTGTATAGAGACAGACAGACAGACAGACAGACAGACAGACAGACAGACAGACAGAATGAGAAGTGTGTATTTGGGTAGGTCTTATAGGAGGGTGACTACTATAAGCCACCTCAGTGGGAAGGAGACTGCTAGAGGCAGAAAGGCATGAGTATGTATGGGGAGGATCTGCTGAAACAAAATGTGAAAATGCCAGGGTGAAAGGTGTCACTTTGTAGGCTAATGTAAAAATTTTTAGTACTAAGTGATGATCAGATAAAGACTTTAAAGGTTAACCTTAAGATTATACTAGCTAGTTTCTACCATAATCATAATGGCAATACACCAGAACTGAAATAGAAATTGGCTATAAGAAATTAACATCGTGAGCATCTCACTGAAAATTATTTTGCTTAGCTGTCATGCATAACTTCACACAAACATACAGGAAAAATAACTGATTCTTCCTGAACAGACTTTTAAATAAAAAAAGGGCAAGTCTAAAACTATGCATGTATTTTACCCAAATCATGTTTAAAATAAACTGAAACAATGTCCCAACCAACTATCTAGTGTCTCAAGCATAAATCATGCTGAACTTCTACTGAGACAGTGCTCATCTCACGGACAGCCTCAGCAATGTTTCCACAAACCCAGCTACACATTAAAATTTGCTATGTTTACCACATGGTGAAATACATTAAGATGATTCATTTTTGAATTAATTTTAATCCTAATTCCAACAATAAAAGTGAAACAAACTCTCAAGGCAATAATTACATTATGAATTAGCAGAAATAACTACCAACAAGGAGATGGAATTTTTAAAAATGGTGGCAAAAATATATAAAAGAGCCATAAGAAAAATACAGCAGAGTATAGACTAATCAGCTGGGAAGATAAGAAAACTAGGACTGTACTTACTAGTCCAAGGATGTAAATTGAGAACAAAAACAAGAAAAATCAGTGAAAGACTTAAAAGTACAAGGCACAAATCAAACAGTATGCTTCTGGGGATTCCATGATAAAGAGAACCACAGGTTCAACTTGCTATGTAAAACTGACAATCAGACTGTTCATGATGCCAAGCCTCAACTTCTTTGCATAACTCTTTCAGTCCTGGGCCATCAACTGCAACTGAGGCTGTACCCTCACCAATGGCCTTCCCGGCTTCTCACAGTGGCAAGCCTCAGCTGCTCTCCATGACCTCTTCATGCCTTCAAAACCAGTACCACCTGGGTGATTCTTACATATTACCAAGTTCAGCTGCCAGCACAATGTCTAGCTCTGGAACACAGTTTCTCTGTACTCTCAGAAAACACTTCCCAAAAGATGTCATCTCAATGATGCTGGTCTCTTTTAAATCACCACTAATTTCATAGCTCCAGCTAACCATGATCAATTGTTCCAGTAACCCCTTCCACTCTTGATTCTAAAGCCAGAGCCACATAACTGAAGCTGCCAAGTTCTGCTGCTTGTGGGCCCCTTGTTCTATTACATCTTCACCAGCTTTCTGTTTTCAGTGGTTTCCTTTACTACCTAAGCGTGGCTGTGTAGAACTTGCTCTGTAGACTGACCTTGATCTCAGAGATCTACATACCTTTGTCTCCTGAATGCTGGGATTAAAGGTGTGTACCACCATGCTTGGTCCTAATCCTTTCTTTATCTTTTCATAAGATCTTTATACGTTCTGGACTGTAGTTCATTCCAGATATAGTCAAACTGACAACCCAAAATAGCTATTGCAATCTATCTCTTGTCAATTTGACACATGATCAAATCTCCTTATGCCCAAATGTAAACAATAACCGGGTCATAATAACGCCTAACATGATATAAGTATCCCCGTTCAACTGCAAACAATAAGCTTAGCTGGGTGGGATCTTGAGTTAAGGTCGCCACTCCCTTAATTCCATTTAATATCCTTGAACACAGGATTTAGCTCCATTCCATTTCCTGGTGCTCCATTACTCTTTGAACCATAGAGTTTCCATTTTTCCTTTTTAACCTTGCTATGCTTAATCAAAATGCTCCTTTTAAGAGTGCACCACAGGGTAAGTCTAAAGCAGGCTTTTTTTGAGATTTCCTTTGTCAATGCAATTAACCTAAGTCTCTTTACTTTAGCCTCAGGCAGACTCTTCAGACAAGGGCATAAAAACAGCCACCTTCTTCAACAAAATATCCCAAGAATGATCTCTAGGAAACATACTAAAATTTTTCTCCTCTGAAACCTCATAAGCCAGACCCCTAGAGTTCAAATTACCCTTAGCACCAATGTCTTCCATATCCCTACTAGGGTGGCCTATCAAGCCCCACTTCAAGCATTCCACAGCTTTCCAAATCCAAAGTCCCAAAATCCACATTCCTCCAAACAAAAGCATGGTCAGGCCTATCACAGCAATACCCCAGTCCCTGGTACCAACTTCTGTCTTAGTTTGGGTTTTACTGCTGTGAAGAGACACCATGATCAAGGTGACTCTTATAAAGGCAAACATTTAATTGGGGCTAGCTTACAATTTCAGAGGTTCATTCCATTATCATCATGGTGGGAAGCATGGCATCATGCAGACAGACTTAGTGTTGGAGGAGATGAGAGTTAAGGCAGCCAGAAAGAGACTGTCGTCTTTAAGGACCCAGGGAACAAGGCTCTCTTCCTCACTGGGTGGAGCTTGAGCACTAGGCACTCTCAAAGACCACCTACACAGTGACACACTTCCTCCAACAAGGCCCACCTCCTAATAGGGCCACTTCCCATGGGCCAAGCATATTCAAACCACCACACTCTCCTGCATTTCTTTTCTACCCCCTTCTTATCCCCCACATAGTGTCCTCCACTCCCAGTAGCTTCCTTCCCACTTTCATATCATGAATGTCACATGACATTGTGACCCACCCCTTAACATCTCCTGTCTAGTTTCACAGTCTCTACCCACTTTACAACTCCTTATTTACATACATGCAAACATTCAAAGTTAAATCTGCATATAAGTAGGAATATTATTTCTACATTTCTGAGACTGAGTAACCTCACTTTGCAGGATCCACCCATTTTCCTGTAAACTTCAGCACAATTGGATGTCTTCCAAAAGGAAAAAATGAACTTATATCCATCTTTCATTTACCCCAAAAGATCAAAGGTGTTAACTCAAAACTTGAACCTCTGAAATTGCTAAAGAAAAAGCAGGTGATATATGTGAAATTATGGGACACAATCAAGAACTTTCTGAATAGGACTCTAATAGCACAGGAGATAGTCCCAAAAGGTAACAAATGGGACCACATGAAACTAAGAAGTTTCTGCACAGCAAGGCAAACTACCAGTAGAGTATATAGCCTACAGAGTGAAAAAAAAATCTCTGACTGTTATTCCTCAGATAAGAAGCTAATAACTACCATATATAAACCTATAAAACTTAAATACTCAAGCCATAAAACTATTAATTGATAAATGGGCTCATAAAATGAACAGACACATCTTCAAAGAAAAAACACAAATGGTCTAATGTTATTTTAAAGAATGTTTAATATCTTCAGGACTCTATCTCACCCTCACCTGAGTATCTATGATTAAGAAAACAAGAACCAGCATGGCACAGTAACACTATGGGTGCCCTAGTCTCTGAACACCCTGGTCACAACTAAATGCTCTCCAATTGGACTTAAGTCCCACTCAACAAGAGTGGTAGCAACTGAGAGGACTCATCCCTATACAAAGAACTAAACGCACTGAATAAAGTGGGGAACATGAGAGGTGGTCCTCCCCAGAGAAGAACACACCAACTTGTTATCTAGTACCAGATAGTCAGCCCTGAAAACACACATATAAGTCCCACTGAACAGTTATGTTTAGGGATATATATCCCATACACACACACACACACACACACACACACACACACACACACACACACACACTGCATTCAATTAACAATTGACTAAAAAAAAAAAGAGGCCATGAATTTGAAGGAGAGTTGGGAGGGGCTATGAGAGGATCTGGAGAGGGGGAAGGGAAAGGGAGAAGTAGAGAAGTATAATTAAATGACAATCTCAAAAAAAAAAAAAAAAACCAGAAGGAGACGGGAGAGGGAAAGGGAAGGATGGAAGGAAAAGAAAAGAAAAAAATAATGAGGATGTGGGGAAGAACCTTTAATACTGCTGGTAGGAGTCTAAACCAGCAAAACTACTATGGAAATCAGTTTGGAGGTGTCTTAGTTTCATTTCCTGTTTCTGTGATCAAACACCCTAACCAATACAATTTAGAAGGGTTATTTTAGAGCTCATAATTCCATGTTATAGTTCATCACAGTGGGAAGTCAAGGCAGTAGGAACCTGAAGCAGTTAGTCACTTAGATCCATGGTCAAGACCTGAGTACAACAATTAAAGCATGTGAGTTTGTATGCAGTTTACTTCCTCCTCCTTTGTACAATCCAGGACTCCAACCCAAGGAAGGGTACTGTTACAATAGGTCTTGGCATGTCAAAACAATCTCCCAAAGACATGTCTACAGGCCAACCTAATATAGACTAGTCTTCAGTGAGACTTCCTCTCAATGAAATCTCTAGGTGATTCTAGATTGTGTCAAACTGGTGATTAAAACTAACCATTCACAGGTGGTGCCTCAAACTAAACTAAACTAAATAAATAAATAAGGCAGAACTGCTCTATTCTAGTCAAGTACACCCTTCTAGTACACTCAAAGGGCTCTACATCATACTGTGGAGTATCCATACACCCATGTCCAGTGCTGTCCTACTCACTGCTGAATGAGGAAAAAAACGTGGCAAAGATGCACAGTGGGATTTTATGTGGGTATTGGGAATTTGAACTTGTTAACTACATTTTAAGTGTATAACTGACACTGCATATTATCACTCACTCTGATAATCTGATAATTCTATTTGTAAATCAGACCACTAACTTTGTCTTAATACGAACATTAAACCACACTGAAATAACAATTGCCAATATCCTTTTGAGTTACATTTTTTTAAAAAGTGAAACCACTAGATTGAAGGCTATGAGAGAATTGAAGATTCAATTTCACTTTAAATTCCATTCCTTACTATATAAAATAACTCAAAAAGTTTATGAACAAAGACAAGTTTAAAGCCAATTATATTTGTGTCACAGTACTTAATGATAAATTAACTCTGAAACAGAAAACCAGTTACTGTAGAAAAGCAACAATTCAACTTCTGATACTACAAACACAAATTACAAGTTTGTAGGTCTTCACTAATTATTTCACTTAGAAAGACATGTTTATAAATCCAAAGAAAGTAAACTCCAGATCTAACCCAGGGCTCTGAAGCCCCCTTTTGTCACTGTACCTGTAAGGAGGCCTTCTGTGTATGTTGAATAGCTATCTGTAGATGCATGCAGTATATATGTTTTCAACCAATTTTTGTCAACAATAAAAAATCATTTTAACTTCTAAAATACAGAGGATCAAAAATATAATGTATTTTCCCAAAGCAATGCCATAGGATTTTCTTAAGCAAACAAATAAAAATTACTAGTGAACTGAACCAAAGACAAAGTGTCTGACAGCCAGATGACAACTGGCCAAAGACAAAGTGTCTGACAGCCAGATGACAACCGTATTTTCAAGGTAATGACTGTCCTCTTTTGGTTCCCTTTATTTTGAGAGTATAACTTATCAATATAAACTAATAGTTGGACTTCTATGAAAAAATAAGAGATATTACTCTATACAACTTTTCTAACTTTTGTCTTTACAACAATTATTTTCTAAATATTAAAGAATAAAACAAATAACCTCCTCCCCAGAGTTCAGAATTTTAAAAAATAATACTGGAAATATATCTTAGAATTAAAATAAAAGCTAAGAAAATTTATTTGCTATTTTAGGGTTCAAGGTTTTGAAGTGAACAGTACAAATATTCTTTCCTCCTAATTTCTGGAAACATGTTTAACTTAGAGGTCATTTTAGACTAAGTCATTAGCCTTATTAAAATATTCTTACCAGTTCTGTCGTATGACTCATGACATGTTCGTGCAATTTCTGCCCCTAGTTCTAAATAGTGACCAGCTTTATCCTTTCTGGAACCATCTGCTCCAAGTGCAAACATTCCCCCAGCAAAGCAGGCCAAATGACCCATCTTCCTTTCCAAGTGTCCATTCTTCCATTCTCCAATAAAGACCAGACCTCCCCGGGACTTCTTAATAAGATGCTTTTCTATAGCCTACAAGAAAAAGATAAACGACTTAAACACAAACTGTTTTAGTTTTAACTGTCAACTTGAAACAAGCTAGAATCACCTATAAAGACAGTCTTAGTAAGGAATTATCCAGAGCAGGTTGTCTGAGGCCATGGCTCCTCTAGCAGGCATTGTCTGGATTGCTGACTGAGGTGAGAAATGTGTCAGCACCATTTCACAGGCTGGCCTGGACTGTGTAAGAGAGAAAAGACCTGGCTGAACAAAAGCACGCAGGTATCAGGCAGGAAGGGCTCTCCCTGCTCTTGGCTGTAGAGCGATGCTTTAAGTTCCTGACCTGACACAGTAAAGGATTGTAACACAAGATTAGAAGTCAAATAAATCTCCTCCCAGTGCTATTTTTTGTTAGGGTAGTGTCACAACAACAGAAATGAATCCAGAACACAAACTGTGAGTGTCTGGCCTTTTATGTCTGGATCTCTGGTCATCAGAGAAACCTTGGCATTATGGTATTTTATAAAGTAGTAACTTTCACAAACTGGGAACTTAGTATATATAACCTGGAAAAAACATGCTAATCACTATTATAAGACAAAACAGAAGAGGTGAGACATGGCCTTTGAGTGCTTTTCTACATGGTATTACCAAGAAGATATAGCTTGTCTTCTTGAGTTGAATGAGATTCATAATAATTAACTGACTGAGATCACCTTAAGAAGTTAGAACCCAAAAGGTTTTATCAATTCATTTTCTATTCCAGACAACAAAACTGAACAAAAGATTGAATAAGTTAAGAGAAAAGGATATTTTAGTAAGTGGTTAAAATTGTTCTTAATTTTTCATGTAACTATACAAGTTAGCAAAATTATCTTCAAAAGCATAACCTTGCCCATGGTAAGGCTTTCAAAACTAGTTGGAACTTGATATACACATTCCTTAACGCCTAAGGAAATTGGCTTCTCACAGTATGGTAATTTGTTTTGAATGTTTGGTCATGGATAAAAGGAGACAACATCAACAGGCTACTGTCCTGGAATAATGGGGATAGCAAAAGAAATATTTTATACTAAACTTAAATATAAGAAAACATATAGTATAACAATCACATTTCATTTTAATAATGAAATTTTTTTTATGAGCTTTGCTCCTCTGGACTGTGGATTTAAGAGTTTGCTGAGATGGGTCACACTTTTCTTTCTGAAATAAGAGATGTATTTTTCAAGGATTAATTCACATTTTAATTATGGGTTGTTTTCTGACAAGTTCATTAACATAAGCTCTAGAAGACATTCACCTTATGTTCCCTGTAATAACAGTGCATGCTTTACAGAACTGTAGGGAGTATACCCTCATCATCTCATGCTATAATGTACCATGCACTCAATAAATAACTTTATAAATGTTGGTGCTCTTGATAATTAAATCAGACAGATAAGGGCAATAAAAAGTAGCTGATAATCGAATGATAGGGATAACCACTGGATTTTAAGTCTTCATTAATTTTTAACCACAATACACACATACACACACACACACACATATATATGTATATATATATATATATATATATATATATATATATATATATATATATATATATTTAAAAGATTAGTCTTTGGAATAGAAGGGCTAAGTTTTTCATACTTACAGGCTGAATGATATTAATATGGCTTGAACATACACAATAACTGCCTAGAGACGTCACTATAATATATTTTTGATTTTTGTTTGTTTTTGAAAGAGAGTCTTACCATGAAGTTCAGGCTAGCCTCAAACTCACAAACGTCTGCTTGCCTCTCTCTCTGTTCCAAGTACTGGAGTTAAAGGTGTACACCACCATATCTGGAGAGTTATGACTTTCTACAGAATACTTACATTGTTTTGTCATTGGTGGCACAAATCTTAGTATGCTCTAAGATAGCCAAACATGCTCATTAGCTTACTGGGACTAAAGACTGTGCTTTACATTCTTAACTACCCTTGGGACTCTTAAAATTAACTGTACTGCACTCTTCTCTCTAAAGAGTTTAATAGTTTCTTATATAAAATGCCAGCTTTTGAATGGCAGTCAGGAATAATTACATTACTCTCAAACATCTTCACTAGTATTACCATGGCCTCTTAACTGACAAATGGCCATTAAGATGTATGCTTTGTATATACTTTAAAAGATAAAGGAACTGACTTTAAGTTTGATCGAAAACCTATAACAATTCTAAGTTGAAGAAGCCAGGACTCTGGGAATCTGTAGAGTGGAGGAAGCAGGATGGGGGTATAAGCATCTGAAACAGAATGCATTCAATGTTACTTTACAATTCAAAAATACTTCCTCCTAACAGGAGTATTTGCTGAAGATAACAGTGAAAAAATTGTATACTTGAAATCACAATGAAATTTGACCAATTACTGTTTTTATAAAAATAGTAGGAACCCATTCTAAATTTAAAAACTAATAAAAACAGAATTGATAAAACAAATATATAAAGCCATGTTGTACATAAAGTAGATGGTATATCTAATGGATAATAATTTAAAATTTTAAGATTAACTTTCACAACAATGACACCTATCACAGTAAAAAAAAAATCTTAGGTCACACCCTTTCAGGATCATTTTCTAGGCTTAAATTTTAGCAGGAGAAAATAAAATTTCACAGCTTTTCAAATTTTAAGGCTTCATTAAAAAGCTTATAAATCACATATAAATTTAGATTCTTTATTAGATTTTAATTTGATTTATTAGTTAACATATTCCCTCATCAAATGTTTATTAAGTGACTACAATGAGCAAAGTCTGTATTACACATTAACTTCCATGTCAGAGTATTTTTTAAAACAATGGTAGTAAATCAGATACTGACAAAGGATATAAAATGGGTAATAAGATCTTAAGTTTGATTTTTTTTTAAATCACAAAACTACAATGATAAAAATAGATCACTATATTAGAAGAAATCTGCTATATTAAAATTATTAAGGACATACAGATTTACAATGGGTCAGAAAGTCAGTAATTTTTGTTGTTGTTTTGAGACAGGGTTTCTCTGTGTAGCCCTGGCTGTCTTAGAACTTGGTCCATAGACCAGGATGGCCTCAAACTTACAGAAGTCTACCTGCTTCTGTGGAATGCTGGGATAAAAGACGTGTGCTATCACTGTCTAGCTATCAGTAATTTATTAAATAAATAACATTTTTCTATTTTGTAATTTTTTTTCTAGAAATTTTCAAAGAATTAATTGTAGGTTTTAAACTGTCATACATATATACTAAACAATAGAATGCCGTGATGAAGAAGACAGGCTCTGTAGGCCAACAGCTCAGTTCTAGACTCTCACCAGCTCTGACCGTCACCAGCCACCTGACCACTGCCACTGCATCTTCAGGTCTCCATATGTAAAGTGGTCAATGATGCAGTGGAATCGTCCATGTAAATGAGCTCAAGCATGCCTGGCACGAGGAAAGCACTACACAAGTAGCTACCATTACAATTCTTTATTCAAAGATGCAATGTGTAGCCTTAAACCATCACCACTTGAAAGGAGTATTTACAGAAGGATGAAGTCAGAAGCTTTACCAGTCTCTGTAGAAATTAATCAAATGTAATTAAAATGAAGTATTATATATTTATAAATATACTCACCTAACTATTTTAAACTGTTACAAATAAGACTTAATGTAAAGATTTTCTGTTAAAATACTAGGAAACTCAACAGTGAATAAGCACAATGTTTATATATAGTACATCTACTTCCCAGATGCCTATAATAAAATGGTTACATGTGTCCAGTCACTATCTAGTACTCAGTACATATATATATATGTATGTTCACTCTAAGAAAAGACTCAAACAATAATCACCTCAACAGCATCGTCATACATCCTTCTTGCCTCGTGGTCTGTTTTATCTGACATCAGCCATGCTTTCAGTAAGTATTCATAAAAACTATCTCCCAGACCACCAACTGATGTATGATCTGTAGCAAAAGAGGAAAGAGGTTATGAGTGAGGGAAAAAGAAGATAAAGACAATTAAAATAATAATATTTTTCAATAATAAAGACCACCTAACAGATTAATTAATCATAGTGGTATGCCTACTTTCAACATATTCCAAACTTAGTCAAGTAGGAGTACAACAAAATACGTATGTCTAATCTTCCAGAAAACCTTTTTTCCTCTACAGGTGGTACTTTAGATTTATGAGTCTTTTTCTTAAATTTCATAGTTTGTACTGTCGTCCACCCAGACTTTTGCAGATGTAAAATAATTATCTTTTGCTAGGCAGTGGTGGGCATGCCTTCAATCTCAGCACTCAAAGGCAGCATAGGCGGGTGGACCTCTGTGAATTTGAGGCCAGCATGGTCTACAGAGCAAGTTCCAGAACAGCCAGAGCTACATAGAGAAACCCTGTCTCCAAAAAAAAAAAAAAAAGGAAAGAAAAACTACAACAAAAAATCTTTTCTATACTAATGGCTTTAAACACACAAACCATTATTAAATGACAGTTATATTTGATAATAAACAAAAAACACCCACTTCTAAACATCTCTATACAACAATGTCTAGTGGTAAAGTCCTGTTCCAAAGTCAAGGACCATTTTGTAATATATTTTTCTAATATAATTAGCTGTTAAATTCTGTCCTTAATTACTATTCATATTCAATACATTAGTACAGAATGTTTTTTCATGGTTATACTATTAACTATCACTTACACTTTTAAGCACACTCTGTCATCTCTCACTTTCCACAAGTCTTGCTGTACACTGCAGGATGTTATTATAAAATTCCCACTGTCTATACAGGGAAAGAAAAACACCTTACCACATGTGACCCTCCACCAGTCAGTCAGACAATACTAGCACAGGAAGGTGAGGATGGTATTTAGCAGTTTATGAGGAAAATTTGGGCTCAGAAAATGTCATGTTTTTATCTTTTTATTTGTGGATTTATTAGCAGTATAAAAATCTAAGTATAGCAGAAGAGAATACAGAGAATACGTCTGGTTTTCTTAGGCAGATACTCTTAAAATTCAAAATGAATGAGTCATAAAGGAAAAGTTTTAACTTCCTATGACCCAAAACGTGAAAAAAAGAGATTGAATAGGAAAAGGTAATTGCAGCATATATGACAGGAGAAAGATAATGTCCTAAGCAAAGACTTCTGACCAAAAAGTAAGGCCAATGAAAGGACACAAAAATAACAACAAAAGAAACAAAACTCAGTTATTACCCAGGAAAACATACTCAATTCCAGTAATCTGAGAAAGGCCAAATTCTACTGAGAAAGCAAGATTTGACTACTATCTAGCATGTCCCCAAGAATATGTTTAGAGTTTTATACACTTATTTATCTGTGGATATAAATAAGCATATGCACCACAGCATGTGTGCATGGGGACTATTCCGTCTTTGCACCAAGTGGGTCCTAAGAATCAAATTCAATCCTTAGGCTTCAAGGCAAGTGCCCTTGGCTGCTGAGTCCTTTTGACAGTCCAACAAGTGAGTGAGTAACACAGAGAGAAATAAAGAAAGAAAATGTTATTCTATCCACTCTTCCATCATCCACCCACCCATCTATCTACCCATCCGTCCATCCATCTGTCCATCCATCCATCCGTCCATCCATCCATCCATCCATCCATCCGTCCATCCGTCCATCCATCCGTGGTGCTAAGGATTGAACCTAGGGCCTTGTATATGCCGGGTAAGTACTCTACCACTGAGCTACATCCTCATGCTTCCTCAAGCATTCTAAAAGACTATTACTATCCAGTGCTGACAATATAGTTCATAATTGTTGAGAATGGAAGTAAGTAGCAAAATTTAATATATGCACCTAGTTCTGGAATTACCTTGTAACAATATCTGAAAAACCCAAATACTAGTGTAAGAAAAAAATCCATTATAGAACTGTTTTCATTTGTAAAAAGTTTAACACAGCCTGAAATATCTAGGGAAGTCGATAAATAAATAGAGTATAAATATAGTACAGCGCAATACATGCTAATGAAAAGGAATCAAACATGTCTGTAATCTCACATTGAAGGATATCTATTTTTACCCGGTTAAGTGTGGAAAGGGAACAGGCTCAGAACAATATTTATAGTTTGACATTGCTAAAAATTATATATTGAGGAACGTTAGGGTACAAAGTCTTTGAACAGAATTGCCACTGTGATTATCTCTGGGGGGAAAAGCTTTACATTTTAACTTCATATCTAAATACATTACCTGAGAACATGTCATTTTATGTAACCCAAAATCAAACTATTATAGAAAGCAACAAATGGGTCAAAGGGCTTGAGCAATACATTGAATGTTCATAATTCACATATACCTTAAACACCATTTTATTTCACTATTTTTTTCTGAAATCATAAGCCAATATGTAAATAAATTTTTAACAAGATACATCCATACAATCACACAGCTTTAAATGTACAACATACCCAGCATCCTAAAGGACTTTACATGACCTTCAGTTAAACTCAGTCCCTAAAGATAACCACTTCTCTGACCTTTCTTACCACATTTTCTAAGTGCTTGAATATACAATGTCCATCTCCTTTAACTGAGATCTATTAAGTTAATGCTGCTAAGAACCATTCTCTTGTTTTCTACCTACTATGTAAAGGAAGGTTCCTCTGTGAGTCTCTGGAAGTTAAACTGAGCAACATAGAAGATGGCTGGAGGGGAAGATGGAGCTCTAATATGATAGCTTACTCAGTTTCAGAATAAATATATCTACAGCTACATTTCTAGTGGGTTACAAAATAGAGAATGTTTACATTTAAGAATAGATGGCCATTAAAAAAAAAAAGAATAGACGGCCAAATGATGATGGGCTTATAGGGTAAATTATACTTTTTGCTTAAAAATACCCTTCACATTAACATTTTATCATCACGAAAGCCATAAAAGCCTGTTCCTTATAAACACTAAAACAATACAGAAATGAAGACGTAAAGAGTCACAGTGTGCGTATGCAATGGGATAGACTGCCAGTCCTCTGGGGGCTGTTTAGTAATAAGCACACAAACAGCAATGTTACATCTGGAGAGGAACTATTTTACAACAGATAGATCAAAATGATGGCTCAATGTCACTATCAATTTTATTTTTTTTATTTTTTTTATTTATTTATTATATGTAAGTACACTGTAGGTGTCTTCAGACACCCCACAAGAGGGCATCAGATATCATTACAGATGGTTGTTAGCCACCATGTGGTTGCTGGGATTTGAACTCGTGACCTCTGGAAGTGCAGTCAGTGCTCTTAACCACTGAGCCATCTCACCGGCCCCACTATCAATTTTATAATCTCAACTTTGAGGCTATGTGAAATTAATTCACACAGAGCTGTTTCCCCTTCCTCTGCCTCATCTTTTCTCACCCTCCACCAAGGTCTTAAGGACCATGAGGGTTGTTTGCTGTGTTTATACTTTACTACTCTATTGCATAGCTCTTGCATTGTCTAGCTTCCCAACAATGACATGCATCAGCACGCATCTCCTCTTGTCCTCACAGGCTTTCCGTCCAATCTGATCAACTCTAGGCACACTCCACAGCTGTTACTGTGAGATCTCTTTTCTTGCTCTCCATAGTTGCACCTATTCTATCTTCAATCCTACATCTTAGTCTACACAGGATTTGCGGAGTAACATTCTTAAATAAATTCCTAGGAAAGAGTATGTCAGATAAAAGGTCTTGTTTTTTAGAATGTTTTTACTATATTGACACTTCATTTTATAATACATGGGTATTAAGTTCAAAGGCAGAAATAATCTTCCCTCAGAGCTTCTTCAAAGTATTGTCCCAACACCATCCAAGTCCACTCTTACTAGTAAGAGACCTGATGCTATTCTGCAGGCTCAGTGTATCCCCACTTCCTCACATTCAGCTTCCCTTGCTGAGGCTTAGAGTCTTCATTTTAACACTAGCCCCATAAAGTACTACTACCATTTCATAGTCATTGTGCTAGGCACCATGCAAACTAAAGACAGCTATGTTTCTGTTCTGTGATAATTATTTTCTTTTATTCTTGGTGATTATCTCTACTCTTCTCAGTACTCTCTTGACTAATAAGGTTCACATTAGTCAGGTTCTAGAGAAATGGTAAATTTTTAAGCCAAAGAGTTTTAGAGTTATTTGCTACTTAGCAATAGACAACTAATATGTTGTCTTTGGGGGCTAATGGCCACATAAGAAATTACTTTTGGTGTCACGGTGGTATAGTTCACTGAAAAAGAGATAGAAAAAGTAAGCCAGGACTTTACTTTTATAAAAATGGAACCAGAAAGTTCAAAGGTTCATATTAAATTGGAGGAAATGGGAAATAAAATTCAAGAACTAGAAGAACATGTTATCTGGAACACAGGTCAAAGGATCAATATAATGGACAGTGCCTTTTCCTGAATTAGAAAAAGAGGTAAAACTAAATGAATCTATGAGTTCACTGGTAAAGAGATTTTTCTAAATGTACTTGGGATGCAATCAGGGTTCAAACATACTAGGCAAGTGCTATCACAGAGCCACACTCCCAGTTCCATCTGTACTTTCATTTTGAGCATAGGTCATCCGGGTGTAGTAGAAGAAATGGAAAGATGGTGACTATGATGAAGTTACTAGCATGTGATAGGAAATAGAGTGGTAACTGCAGGAAGTAGGTAACTGTAGGCATTGCATTGTATTGTGTTGTGTTATGTTGTGTTGTGTTGTGTTTGTAGGTGGTTGTACCATACCTATATTCCCCTTTCTTTGCTTCCTATCTGCCAAGAAAAGAACATCTCTGTTCCTCTACAATTTCCCCATTATAATGAACTGAAAAGAATTCTTTCATTTAACCTGTTTTCAGATATTTTAGTCACTATGACACAAAAGCATTACAGTGAGCCCCACTCTAAAACTACTAGAGGACACTCTCTTAGAACTTGAGAGAAAGAAAGAAAGAAAGGAAGGAAGGAAGAAAGAAAG